TTTGAAGAAACCACTTGTCACCAAAGGAAAGAAACTAAACTTTTATACTTCCATTTTTCCATTACGGTTTCAACCTAACATAGAACACATTTACCTTGTGCAGGAAAAAGTTTGTTGGTGTGTGCCTTGAAGTGTGTGCATTTTGAGTCTATCTTATCTTACTGTGAGTTAGGCCAAAAGAAGAACCTAACACCAAGACTATTCAGGAGTGGTCCTGAGAAGCTCTTCATGACAATGTGAAGAAAGGAGACAAACAAAGAGCAAAACAAAAAGTGTTTCAGTGAATTGGTGACCGCTGTGGGCACTGGGATGAATCCCATTGGAGATTTTCTGAAAGATGCTTCAGAATTATCTTCTAAAGTGAGGACGCTGGAGTACTGATCCACCATCTTTATGGCTCATTAGTTGAGAGTTATTCCTGGGGTATCAGCTCCCAGAACTTCCAGCTTGGTTTTCAGGTAAGTACAGGAAGCTGTTGGAAGTATCAGCAAATGCCACTCCGGAAGGGTAGGGTACCTAGGCAGGTCGATAGTAGCAGCATTTCCTACATAAGTAAGCTTTGTTACTTTTCCCATTTCTGGGACAAAATACCAACACCCACAAGTTTCTTGGTGAAGGAGAGAAGGTTTATTTTAGCTTACAGGTGATAGAGGTTTCAATCCATTCTCAGCTGGTTCCAAAGGAGGGTGACATGGTCCAGGGGCATGGTAGGGGAGAAGTAGTCCATGTTGTGGCAAGCCGGAAACAGTGAGCAGCGAGCTTCCCTTCCCCTTTTAGTTTATACAGCTTACAAATTTATTGGTTGGTGCCATCCACACCCACACCCATAATCCATATTCACACCCCTAGATCCAGCCACCCCTGATGAGCCCCACCCATGAGTGCCTGAGGCCTTGGGGCAACATCTAGATACCATTTACAACAGACCTAATTAAGGACAAATAGAGAACTTGAGAGTCTTTGAATTGTTGATTTCTAGATCAAAACATGCTCTTCTAAATGCAAAGAGAAGGCCGGCCAAATAGCTCATTGGATTAAAGCCCCTGCTTAAGCAGATGCAGTAGCTGGAGTTTGATCCCCAGTGTGCGGTGCCAGCCCTGCCCCCGAAGTGCACTGAGATGGTGACTGAGATTGGACATGGTGGTGTTCCCAGTTCTTGGGAAGCTGAACACAGGCAATCACTATGAGTCTGATCTACGTAGTGAGACCCTGTATACCCTGTATTAAAACACAAAAAGAAAAATGCAAAAACATTCCTTATCCTGAAAGGTTTTACTCAGGGAGAAAATCCTATGCCTTATTGCTAGCATTCTGTAGAACTGAAAGCTAGAAAGGATTATAGGATCTCCTATGGCCAAACTTATATAACGTAATTAAGACCACCAAAGGGGTAATAACTGCACAGTAATAATACCCGCATATACTACATAAATATATGCATACATACATACATACATACACACACAAGCACACACATATATGCATGCACACACACACACACACACACACACACAAATTTAAATTCCACATAGGCAGAGATTGTTACCATTTGTTCATTGATGTGTCCCTAACACTCAGAACTGGGTCTAGAGAGTACATGATCAGTGCTAATAAATACTTGTGATCTGATTTGTCACATGGACCCCTGTGAATGCTTCCATAGCAGAAAGCCGAGGTAGCCATAATCCTGGGTCTGTTAGCACCTGGACCCTCTCAGCTATCTAAAATGTTAAGCTCTTTCTCAGAAAAAAAGTGTTTATGTTCAAAAAATAAAATATGTATGAGTCATACAGAAAAAATCACATGAAGTATAATTATAAAAAATATTGTGGCTACAGTGTAATAGATAACATGGCCTCATGATGGGTCTAATAATCACCATTTCAGAGTAACTAATAAATTGACATGTTGTGTCTAGTGACTTGTGCTGATGACAAATTCATGAGTCCTATAGTGGTCTGACACCTGTGTTCATAACTAAAGGAAATGACCTTTCACTTGAGGGTGTCGAATACTAAAGGCATATGTTTTTCCTATCTGAGGTGAGACATTAACTACTCCCTTCACTTCCAAATTGATAACCCTGAATGGTTTGTGGGCTGCTGGTGGGAGAAATCCTTGCTTAGGAACATTCTAGATTCAAAATCAGTGAAACTGACTTCCAGATAGAAAAACCCCTTCACCAGTCCTTTATGATCATTTACAAACTCTGCTAAATAATACTGGAATAAGCATATTAAGATATATGCCCCCAAAATGCAATTAATAGTGTCTTGTGAGCACATCTGCAGTGGGAAAGACAATGTCCTAGGGACCAAAACGCACTTCCATGAATCCTCAATAAAGTCAAGGATGGAGGAATGAACTCTACTTTCAAGTGAGAAAAATGAACACAGGGAAGCACGATATTTTGGGCAAGGTGGTACACCCACAGATCTTTACTTTTTATTCACAAGGTTTTGCAACAAAATTACTGGAGGGTCATAGGAAAGCTGCAGATTGAGGCTTTCACCATGGAGAGTCTCCATCCATCTGGCAGGACACCTTAGAACAGGCATTCTTTCCCGTGGTCCCCCAAGATGATTCAGTGGAGGCTGCCCTCCGCCTGCATTCTGAGGGAGGGTAAGTCAAAGTTGTCTGTCTGGATCAGATCAGTAACTCTGTATATTGAGGGGAAGTTGGCCTTGCAGATTAGGAAAAGAGTGACTTTACAGTTGGCTTTTTCTGGAGAGGTGACTGTGGCCAGAGCTCAGCATCCTGTTCCACAGACTTGGATTCCATCAGAAATAAACAATCTTAGCATATTTTTTCTCATTCCTCTACTCTCATTGCTGAAGTGTCTTCCACTCTGCACAGCTTTGTCAAGCCTTTGTGAATGGATAGATTGGACAAGCAGGAAAAAGAAGTGTGTTTAGTGTGTTGGTCTTTCTCAGACTTCTGGTGAGAAATCTCATACTCTGGAAGGCAGCATCACTATAAGATTTTTCTTGGGAATATCTCCAAAGAGCTATAAATGAAAGCCCTTCTCTCTATAAAAGATTTCTGTACATGGTTCATCTAGCCTGGCATCTCTGGGCAGGTCGACCAGCAACCACATCAGCATCCTTTTTGTGTGCAGAGGCATTTGTGTTTGAAACCCCAATAGGAAGAAAAGCAGTGGTAAAAGGGATAACTGAATTCTGTGGCTTAGGTGTTTGTTTCCTGTCTCTGACCATGGGGAGAAGCAGAACTAGGGAAGCCACCATCTCTGCCTGTTTCAGCCTCAGGAGAAGCCAGAAAGTGGGAGACAATGGCAACAGGTCTGAAAGAAACCCAGAGCTGGGTCAGGATGGGTTCGTCCCTCAGGACACCAGGAGCTGGAGGAATGCTGGGGATAGACAGAAAAGGTAGCGCTACTCCTGCACTATATGCCAGAGCTTCCCTTTAAAGTTTATTTTAAAAGAAATACTTGAGTTACAAAAATGCAAAAGGTTGTGAAGTCTGGGACAGAGGGGATAGAAAGGCTTGGATGAATAGAAGAGTGGAGTCAGCCATCCTTGGAGACATTTGCTAACACCAACTTTTTCTCCTTTCCCTGTGTGAATTTATGAGGACTCTGGAATTTTCTCTTGCTGGTGTCAGGTACATGCTGAAGAGAGATCATGTGAGGGAAACACCCGGGTTGCTAGAGCAGCAAACGATGACAGAACAGTGACTGACTGATTCTGAGCAAGATTGGCTGCAATCATGAACTTCTAGCTTATCCCACCTTCAACAGTTGAAAACTCAAGACAAAAGAAAGACTTCCAAATTGTAACTGCTTTATTTTTGCCACTTGTCCAACCTGTCCACTAATGATGGGTTTGCAAAGATGTTTGTGTGTGGGAGACACCAAAGAAATAGAGTGAGGAAATGAGAAGTCAGATGCTAAGAATGACCACTACTGCTGGAATCACTCTTCTGTGGAACAGCATGAACTCAGGACAGCTGCTCTTTTAGTGGACATTGTGATGGGAGTTGGAAGAGAGTGTCCCTTAACAAGAGAGAAAATGAATCCCTCTACCCCATTTCATTCTGAAAAGTGATGACTAAGAAAGTGAATATAATACAAACAAAATGTATTTCTCCAGGAAGTTTCACTGTATTACATTTTACCACAAACAAGACTCAATTTAAGCTACTGTGTCCAGGCTGGCTATCTAATCCAAAGTGAAATGTTCAACTTAAGATTGGGAAGCGTCAGAATCAATGTTGGTTCCATCATGTTGAGTTCTCTTTATTAAAACTACTTATATTGTCAAAATAAATCCATGCCTTTTCACCTGGGAACATTAGCTTGTATCTCAAATGTCACCCAAAGGCTTGGTCCCAGATCTTTCACAAGTGGGCCTTCAGGGTCATTCTTGGAAGAAGGTAGAAATTTCAGGAGGTCGTGTCTGCAGAAGGAAGTCAGGCCTTGGGGGTCCCCTTGAAGGAGCTTCTGGGCCCCAACCCCTTCTGATTTTGGTGTCTTTGCTCACACCACGGGGTGAACTGTGTTCTACGGCATGCTGCCTTCATGGTGTACAAAGCTATAGGGCCAGGCAGCTAGGACTGAAAGCTCTGAGACCCTCAGCCAAAATAAAGCTTTCCTGTTTTATCCTTTTGCAGTATTGGGGATTGAATCCAGGGCTTTGGCACAGAGCTGCATCTCTAGTCCTTTCTTTTTTATAATTTTCTGAGACAAGTCAGTCTCACTAAATCATTAAATTATCCAGCCTGGGGCAATCTTCCTGCCTCCAACTCCCAGAGTGCTGGGATTATAGGCATGTGCCACAATACCTGGCAAGCTTCCCGTCTTCTAATACGTTGGTCTCAAATATTTGCCACAGTGACAGGAAGCTCAAAGTCCCTCATTTCACCCCTACCCCTTCTTCACTTTTGCAGAAAGAAAGAATACAAACTCCTCTTGATCGCCCCTTTCCTCTGGATGTCTCTACACCTTCATTTTGTTTTCTTTGTCTCAAGAAAGAAGCCAGAGACCAGACAGTAGTGTATTTAATTCATTTTCAAAACCAAACTCACATGAATTGATTGTTCAGGCCCTCTGGTTTGGACCTGACACATTATGAATTCCAAACTGCATAGGTACATGAAACAGGTTCTTGTGCCGCAGTCACTGGGTGCAGGGAGCAGTGGAACATTCCCGAGACAATCACTAGACATGCAGAATGCCAGCCAGAAGCATGGATCACTCTCAGGGGTCTTGCTGCAGGGAGCATGAGGTTGTATTTTGTGTGCACTGAAAACTGTACGTTAGCCAGCGGAGGCTGAGCGGCAAAGCGCCCCTCGTCCTCTGAACTTAAAGAGGTTTCTTCCCAAGGGAAGTGTTTCTAATCTCTAAAGTTCAGGGCCAGAAACCTCTCCAAGTAGGATATGTTGCTCTTTGGAGAGTCAAAGCCAAGCCACCATGAGCATGAGAGCTGGCTGACCCCCTGCCTCCCTATTCGCCAGCAGGGGAGAACAGCTGCCACTCATCCTATGACTCCAAGGAGCTGCTGTCCCTGGGTTTAAGCATGGACGTGGGCCAAGCAAGCCCCAGACACCAGGCCTGTTGGATTGTAGCTATACTGGTATATCCTGTGTACAAGGTGGAAAGTGCTGTTTTGTTCTACCTGATCCGGCTGGGACAGGACTCGGGGGTGCCTTTCTAAGGGCCCCTAGCCCATGTGCTTGTACTGGGATCGGTCCCTCGGAATCTGCACCTGGTTGGCAGTCATTTTGTGGTGGATGTGGTAAATCACAAGCGTTACCACAATGATAAGGCCCAAGATTAGCCCCAAAACCAGGGGCAAAGTTTCCTCCAGCTGCTCCCGCTCGTCCACTGGGCACTTATGCTCTGAAATAAAAAAAACAGGAAAAGCAATGAGCTTGAGTCAACATGTTCCAAGTCTTCAGTGCCTCGGCCTCAACTAAGGGAGAAACGGAGATGCAAGCATCTCTCAGGAAACCCTTAAGAAGATGACTTTTTTTTCCCCCCAGAAATAATGCTTCCCCAGTAAACCCAAAGTCTTTGCCACTAAGTATTGCTATATAAACATACATCAGTTAAATAAGGCAATATTCAGTTCTTAGATTCCTGGCAGATTTTTTTTTAAAAAAAAAGCATTCAAAATGATTTATTTAACTTTTCAGTGTTTTGATAATAGATATGTCTTTTTTAACTTTTAAAGAAAATACAAAAAAAAAAAAAAGGCCAGCCAGATAGCTCAGTGGACTAAAGTGTCTACTTGGGGAGAGCACAGGGGCTGGGGTTCGATCCCCAGCATGCCGTGCTCCTCCACCTGCCCACCCCTGGAGAATGCTGAGACAGTGATTGAGACTGGGCATGGTGGGGCATGCTTGTAATCCCAGTGATTGGGAGGCTGAAAACAAGAGAATCACTACAAGTCTGATCTATGTTGTGAGACCCTGTAGACCCTGTACCAAATAAAATTAAAATAATAATAATAAAATATAGCATATACATAGAGCATAGAGAAATATATATATATATGTGCAACCCTGAAAAAGACTGGAAATTGCAAGTGTTGGCAGTGATGCTGAGCAAATGGTACTCAACACTCCTGACGGAAATGGGTATGACCACCTTATAGAGCTGCTTGGCAATTTCTAGTAAAGACAAATATACACCTACCTTATAACACAGCATTCCATTCCTAAGTAACTATCTAAGAAAAATAAATCTACAAGGACACAAAAAAGATTTCAATGGAAATGTTCGTAGATTTCCTAAAAATAGCCAGCAATTAGAAACAAGCAAGGTGCCAAAATGGAGTAACCTGTAGTATTGTTTATAATAGTATCAGAACATGAATTTTGTCAGACACAAAAAGAGCATATACTGGGCTGGAAAAATAGCTCAGCAGCGTAAATGCTTGCCTGGCACACACAAGGCCCTGAGCTGGATCCTCGGTACCACAAAAAAAAAAAAAAAAAAAAAAAAGAGAGAGAGAGAGAGAGAAAGAGAAAGAGAAAAGCACATACTGTATGATCTCACTTAGTGAGGCTGAAACCCAGGTACCAGAGCTGCGGATAGTGTAGTGCATGCCTATAATTCCCAAGCTCTGGAAAGCTGAAGCAGGAGATTGCAAGTTCAAGCCCAGGCTGAACAACTAAGCAACTTAGAAAGATGCTATCTCGACATCTCAGAATGAAATATAAAAAGGGCTTGGGATTCAGCTCAGTATGAAGGCTGTATGTTCAATTCTTTACAAGGAAAAGAGAGAACAAAAAGAGTAGGTAAAGGCAGATCTATGGTAATAGAACTCAGAGAAATGCTTATAAGCAGGAAAAATGACAGGAGAGAATTTTTGGTTGTCATGGAAATGTTCTATGTCTTGATTTGGTTGATGTTTATGTGGTTCCAAGAATAGATAAAAATGCAAAAACTATATATTTTTTAAACTTTACACTTTCAACATTATACTCTAAAAGTACATATACTGTAAAATTTGTGCATTTTTTAATGTATGTAAATTAAACTAGAATTTTTAAAAAGACATGTAGAGCCTGATGAATATTCACGGGTGAACATTCCATGTAACCAACGTCTAGAGCAAAAGGGAAAATGTCAGAAGCACACCAAGATCAATTCAATCTTACCATCCTAAAATTCAGGCTAGGGTAGTAGCCCTGTACTTCTACCCTTACAAGAGCAACAAAAACAAAACTCTTGAATGACCTTCTGGTACCAAGTAGCTTGTAGGGCTGACCAGAACTGCCCTCCCAGAGACCAGAACACAGTTGTTCAGCTGCACTTGCTCCTTGGGAGTGCCTGGTGGCCTTGTCACCAAAATTATGGCGGGGGGGATATAGAAAACAGGCTTCCCATGTCTCTTCAGGAAGAAAAAGTTTTCAGGTGAAGACAGCCCAGCCAACTGGTCCTAAGCACCTACTGTGTGCCAGGCCCTTCCATTATCCCTTTGGCCTCTGTCCTCCCACCATATTCAAGATCAACAGAAAGAAGGAAGTAAGCCCTGAGCCCCAGAAATCCTTCCTCTCTACTAACAAGAATGCTCAGAGAACTTTACAAAAATATACCAAATAGTATGCTTGATAGTTCTGGCTTCTGAATTAGCATTTCGTTTTAAGCACAAAGATGTCCATGTCCATTTTACAATAACATATAAAGACCATGATGGCTGCCCTCAACAGCTCTACTCTTCGGCATGACTCTGGCAGTGCTTCGCTAACCTGAACATCTGCCTCCTTGTGGTTTCCAGGAGGAGCAAGAAGGAGGACTTGGCGGGCTTGCTCTTGATTGGTACACCAGACGCAGAGGTACATTCCGGTTCAGAAGACCCAGAGAACAGACTATTTCTTGCAAGGGGAAAGAGGAAACTTTCAGGGCTTCTGCACATGGTGGTTTTCTTGCTTGTGGCAATGGTTTCATAATGGATTCACAAGTCAGTATTCATCAAATTGCCCTTAAATGTTTATTATGCACATATGTGTCAATTTTTCCCAAATAAAATTTTTCTTTTTTTTTATATTCAGTAGAGGGTCTACAGCGTCTCACTGTGTAGGTCAGACTTATAGTTATCCGCCTGTGTTCAGCCTCCCAAGATCAGGGATTACAGGTGTGTGCCACCATGCCCAGTCTCAATCGCCATCTCAGCATGATGCCCATCTCAATTGCCCCCTCAAGGATGGGGCTGGCATGGCACACAAGAGATTGAACCCTGGTCACTGAGTCTGCCTAAGCAGGTTCTTTAATCCACTGAGCTAGTTGGCCAGCCCAAACTTTTCATTCTATATATTTATTGCAAATGAATTTTCCTTCCAGAAAAAAAAAATTTTTTTAAACAACCTGGTAAGTGGCAGAGGCATGTGAAGGGTTAATCAGCACCAGTGAGCCTTCCTAGTAACAACTAGAATATCAGAAATGAAAGAGTAGGGACCTTTGCATCCTGTATCTGACTTTACTATCAGGAGATCCAGCCCTCTGTGGGTCAGACTGCTGTCCAAACTCCCCATCTCCCCAGGACATAGGCTTGCTGAGAGTTCCTAGAGCACCAGGGATAATATGGGCCTAGAGTCCCAGGATACCAGAATGGGGGGCTTTCCCAAGGGTACCATATTAACTCTTATCTCTGCTTCATGGAGGTGTGGCTGGCTGTGATTTGTGTCTAGATGTTGCCCCAAAGCCTCATGTAATCATAGAGTTCTGGGGGAGGTAGTTTGTGATTGATTCATAGTATAGTGCTGGGATTAAGAATTAGTGATTGTTGGATCAGTTCACTGATTAGATCGGCACTATCCTAATCCCAGAAGTCTGAATGAGATAAGAGGGACAGAAGGAGGCTTATTTTCCTGTTTTACTCTTGTTACTTTTCTTTATTTTTTCATTGCCATGAACTGTTGCCCCTCTGTCACATGCCACTTTGCCTTACAGCCAGGTGATATGGACTAAAACTTCTGCAAACTGTGAGCTAAAGAAACCTTTCCTCTGTTAACTTTGGGTGTCAGGTGTTTTGTCTCCATAGTAAGAAAAGTAACTAAGACACTGCTCAAGTATGCCCAGGGACCCTTGTGACCTCTGGCTTTTAGCTCTGGTCTCTGCCTCTATTCTCCTCCCCACAGAGTAGGTGGATGGTTAGACCAACCTGTTGGACACTGGTTTTAACATTTGATTAATTGATTTTAATGTATTTAGTACAGCATCTACAGCATCTCACTACACAGATCAGACTCATAGTGATCCTCCTGTTTTTAGCCTCCCAAGTGCTGGGATTACAGGCACAGGTCACCATTCTCAGTCACAGTTGCCATCTCAGCACACTTCAGGGGTGGGGCTGGCATGGCACACTGGGGATTGAACCCTGGTCTCTGTGCCTACCTCAGCAGGTGCTTTAATCTACTGAGCTATCTGCCCTAGACACTGGTTTTAGCTCCAGTTATCCAAACATCTATGTATTCCAAATATAGTTCATGCCCTGCAAGGTGTGGGAACCAAAAAGAGATTAGAGTTGTGTCAGGGAGTGAGAGATTATATAGCTAAAGCAAGGGAGAACATGGCCAGATGGCTTTCTCCAAGACAAGGCGACCTCAATTCCTCATGCTCAGGACAGAGAAGTGGGCAGACAGTCCAGGAAAGCACAGTGAAGAAGGGGTTTCATGAGCTGGGAAGAATCTAGGATGGGCCTGCGAGCTACACTGAACAATTTGTGAAGTCATGATTCTGGGTTTTTTTAATCCCAAGTATCTACCGGTAAATAAAGACATACACAGTAGATATATGTATGAAAATATTGATGAGTGACTGGGGAAGGAGGTCAGTGGCAGAGCAAAGTATACATGCTTAGTGTATACAAGCATGGAACATCCAGTAGAGAGAGAAAAAAGAAATAGAGATGCAGATACAGGTATCAATTAACATTTCTATCACAGCGAGAAAAGAAGTAATCAGCGCGGAGAGTAAGACAGATGAAAGGTGGCTTCACTTGGCTGCTGTGTAATCCTGAGCAGCCTCAGTTCCCTATAAAATAGAGATACACTTACACAGAATTGTTTTCAAACCAAACATAATAATACAGAGGGCCAAGGATGATAGCTTTCTATCATTGTCATCTGTAAAGACAGAATTCTCATACCCATAAACCTTTATATACTCTTTTTAAGTCTGAGTCTTCAGAGGTTTAGTACCCATCATATTCCATCTTTTAAGAAGGATGGAAGAGAGGGTCAAACATGTAGGATGAGAGGAAAAAATACCTTACCCTCTGGGTAGTCCAATAAAAGGCAATTCCTAAGTCCACTCTAAAATCTACAAAACTCTCAAATCCAAAAGCACCGTGTGTTGTTCTTTTGGAGGTCAAGTCCTGTGAGGCCACTTGT